GATTATTTTAGCGGTTGAACAAGCATACAACATGAATTCAGGATTTGTTTTCATTCACAACTCAGAGTTGCCGCCTCCAGTGCCAGTAAGATTCTTGTGACTTGTGTGAGTTTGTGTGAGTGTGATATCTCCAGGCCCTATCTGGTCCCATTTCACTTTGATTACCCTGTCAAACAAGTCAGCCTTCGCCCCTGACTCAATCCAAACCTGGAAGAATATTTACTTCTCTGTCCTCCTAATATTTTTATTGATATCTTTGGTCGGTCATTACACTTTTCTTTTCTTTTTTTAATACTGGTTATGATTTTAATACTTTTTTTTACCAAGCCTCGTTCTAAAAACCAACTCATTGTTGTGATTGATCACAGGTAGAACGGCTAAACTCAATCCAAACCTGAAAGCTGGAAGAATCTTAACTTCTCTGTTCTCCTTTTATTGATTTCTTTAGTCGTTCGTTACACTTTTTGTACTTGTTACGATTTTAAAACTTTTTTCATGCTCCGTTGTAAAAACCAACGCACTGTTGTGATTTATCACAGGTATTAGCATTAATTTATAGACATTTTTGAACGGCTAAACTCTATCCAATCCTGGACATATTCTGAAAGCTGGAGGCACCTTTATTTCTTTGTCATTTTACAGTTGTTAGTAATTTATCTGGTCAGTCGTTACACGTTTTGTACTGGTTATGATTTTTAATTTTTTTTCCCATGCCTAGTTGTAAAAACCAACACATTATTGTGATTTATTACAGGTGCTAGCATTTTATAGACTTTTTTTGCAGGGCAAAATTCAATTCAAAGCTGTATAGATCAGAAAACTGGAAAAATCTTTAATTCTTTGTCCTCCTTCTGTTTTTATTTATTTCTCTGGTCGGTCGTTACACTTTTTGACTTGTTTTTTATTTTTAAAAACTGTTTTCATTCTTAGCTGTAGAAATCAAACATTATTGTGATTTATCACAGGTAATTGCATTATATAAATATTTTTTTACAGGGCTAAACTCAATCCAAACATGTAGAGGTCTGAAAGTTGGAAGAATCTTTACTTCTCTGTCCTCCTACTATTTTTATTGATATCTTTGGTCGGTCGTAAGACTTTATTTACTGGTTATGATTTTAATACGTTTTTCTAAGCCTCGTTCTAAAAACCAACTCATTGTTGTGATTGATCTCAGGTACTAGCATTTTATAGGCCTTTACGAACGGCTGAACTCAATCCAAACCTGGACATGTTCTGAAAGCTGGGAGAATCTTTTCTTCTCTGGTCTCCTACTCTACTTATTGATTTCTCTGGTCGGTCGTTACATTTATTTATTCATTAAAATTTTTTTTTTACTATTCACTGTTTTAAATTTTTTTCTATGCCTCGTTGTAAAAGCCATCACATTATTGTGATTTATCACTGGTGCCCAGCATTTTACAGACTTTCTTGCAGGGCTAAATTAAATCCAAACTTGTATATGTTTGAAAGCTGGTTAAGAATCTGTACTTCTCTGTGCTCCTACTATTTTTACTGATTTCTCTGGTCGGTTGTTACACTTTTTGTACCTTTTTAAAATTTAAAACTTTTTTCCATGCCTCGTTGTCAAACTGAACACATTATTGTGATTTATTACAGGCGCTAGCATTTTAGAGACATTTTTGCAAGACTAAACTCAATTAAAAAATGTACAGGTCTAAAGCTGAAAGAATCTTTACTTCTATGTCTTCCTACTATTTTTTATTGATTTATCTGGTCGGTCGTTACACTTTTTGTACTGGTCTTGATTTAAAAACATTTTTCTATGCCTCCTTGAAAAAATCAACTCATCATTGTGATTTATAACTGGTAGGCCCTACTTGCATTTTA